TCACTGTCAGGTATCATTATACTTGATCCATCTATTTCACGTCACCACTGTACTGCGACCCCCCTGTGCTGGGTTTTTTTTTTTAACTTTATTATGCTATAACTTATTGTAAAGTGTATGGATCAACACAATTTTTTTATGAAAAATAATAATATTATCCCTTTTTCATTTGACATACTTTATCTTAATCAGGATATTAATAAGGAAATAGCAGATAATGTAGATTTTGGAATAATCCACCAATTTTTTTAAATTAAACACTATCTAAAGATTTTCATCGAAGCTTTTTTTTTGTATAGTGATTTTAATCACTGTCAAATATCATTATACTTGATCCAACTATGCCATGTCATCACTGTGCCGCGAACCCCCTTGTGTTGGGTTTTTTTAAAGTTGTTTATGTGACTTTTTTTTTTATTTATACAAGTAACCTGAAGATGGCTTTTAGTCTAAAATAGAAGTTACTAATATATTTATAATTATACTTTAAGCTAATTTTATATTATTTTATTTAATAAATTGTAAAATTTATTATAAGCAGTATAAAAATGTAATTTATTTTAATTGCTTTACTTTCAAACTTGAATTTTTTTAATTTATAATTTTTATCAAATAGGTCATATTTCATGTAGCTACACTAATGCCAACAGTTGAAACTGATGCAAAATGCAATAACAAAAAAAAAAATATTGGAAATGACTTTGTAACTATTGTTTACAATGAAAGTGGACAAGAGTATGACATACAAACTGTAAAAGTAAGCCAAATCATTTTTTATCTGTAAAATTTAATTAATATTTTTTTCTATATGAATTTATTATTTAGGGCCAATTTAGTTATGGATGTGTTATTGTAGAACCACTTGAACATGGTGTTGATCAAATCACAGTTAAAGTAAGGGATGATCTACGAGAACATGTTGGCCATCAAGAACCCAAAATAGTATCTGATCAAAATGCTGCCATGTTAGCCAGACAACTTGCTATACATACAGATGTAAGATTGAAAAAAAAATTACACACATTATAACAAAATTAATTTCTGATTATCAAGATCCATGTTTTTATAATTACTAATCTGAAATCATTTTAAACATGTTCCTCATAACAACTCTAATTATTCTATATGTCCTCTATAAAAATATCCTGTCATAGTATTGTATTACTCTCAATTATATTATATAGAAACTGGCTATTTAAAAATATACAATGATCCTTGTTTTGATTTTATGACACTTTGTAGCAAGTGTAATATGAACATATATCACATACCAACCTTACACATTTTTATAGAAGAAAGTTGGCATTAGTAAAATTAGATAATTATTGATAAAATTATCATCCCACTAGCTTCTTATATATTTTTATTAGAGAATAGAATTAAGAAGTCATTGCATAGTCCTACTGATCAATTTAATAAAACTTAATAAAATCATTCAAATGAAGATAAATTATACATCAATAATCTATAAATTGTAACAGCTCTTAAAATTCCTAATATTCATTTGTTGCATTCTGTATTTTCAATAGAAAGTCTTAAAATATTTACAGTTAAATAACTTTAAAAAAAAAAAATAAATTATGCTAATGCATTTTTTAAATATTTGTTATTATTTTTTGAATTTATAATTAGCATTAAAATATTTTTTAGTTGGCTTCTCAAATATTGAGTAGTTCAAAGAAAAAAAATAATGGACCATTTGCAAGTAATTGGTTGGAAAGACTGAGACAAATAAAAAGAATTCAAAATAAAGTTATGAAATCAGAAACTAGCCAATCATCAACGAATGAACCTATGACAACAGTCATCAAGCAAGCAACAGCTGCTGTGAGTCGTGCAAAAGTACAAATGTCTGATTTTACAGAATACACTTGAAACAAAAATCTTTTTCTTTATCTTCAGGGCAACATAAAAGATGATCTCATTTTAAACTGCGTGTTAAAAATGTAAATATGATACATTGCATGCGATTATGTATATTATGTACTCTGTGAATTCATGTGAGTTTTTTTGTTTTCCAATGTTAAATATAACATTATTGTATTATGTAGTTTATTCAGTGTCTACTTACAAAAACAAACATTATTGTAAACACCTAAGTCTACCCCGGTAAAACATAATGTGACATAAATCTGATTGCTGATGTTACACCAATCTACCTTGTATTCAATATCTTAAGCAGCTTTCTAGATTAAGACATTGATGTCTAATTAATCAGGTCACCTAACTTATATTACATATAAATTTAATATTATCTTCATTACTGTTCTTATAGGCATTAATTTAAATTTATTTATAAAATAATTATAAAAAAAAAATTTTTTTATATGAGTTTTATCCTCTTCTTACTCTTTAAAAATTTAATAATTTTATTTTTTTTTAATGACAATAACTGTATATTATTAGTTTTCAAATTAACAAACTAATTTTTAATATCAAACAAGACAAGAGTGTGGAAGAGAATCACTGGTGTGAATAGAAAATTTAAGTTCTCTCATTTCAATAATCAGTCCACAGCTAAAATTAAAAACTACATACATTATGACACATGTTAAATTTTAAAACATTCGCAACAGTACATACATTGTTAAAAAATATTTTCAAATTAAAAATATTCATATGTAATAAAATATTTTGTTTTGGTTGGGTTTTTGTAAATAAAATAAGTATTAGTTCTCTGAAAAATTCGCTATAATAATATGTATTATTATTCAACATTCTATGGCTTCCAGAAAACAATTTATATTATATTATATTACATTATATTTTTAAAGATATTGCGACTTGAGTCATAGATAAATAATGACTTAATACATTACATATTGTCAGAGATAAAATATTAAAACTACTCAAATTTTTGTTTGCATAATTAAAATAATGCAAAATTGGTCACTACCCTTTCATAGCGAATGCGTCACGTGATGGATGACAACTTCGGCTGAGAAGGTATTGGTTTTACTATGATGTGTTTTTTTTTGTGTCTGTTACCACTTTTTCTCAGCTCTCACCGAACCAATT